GCAAGTTCTACAAAGTATCAGGCAAAGGACTTCAGTATACCTATAGAGGCCCAGAGAGGTATCCTATTAAGACTTGTATATACAAAGTAAGGCCTCGAGATTGACTAAAATATAAAAGGAAAAAGGAAAGATGAATCGCATAAGTGCACCTATTAAGCGAGGGTCATGCAGGCTGCATGACAAAAGGTAACAAAAGTTGCAAGATTAGGAAGATTTTGATCACACGTCATGATATGAGAAACAAGACTAAAGAGGGAATACCATATACTTTGGATTTACTCACAGAACAACTGCTTAAATAGCAAGAAGAGTATTAAGGTATTTACAAGAGCTATAAGTTATGAAAATGATAAGAGCATCACTCAACATTCGAGGACGAATATTCCAAAGGGGGGAATGATGTTACACCCCGCAATATTACATCAATATTACATCATGCAGTAAAATATTACGTTGATGTTCTTGCAGTATTACACTACGGTGATGTTACACTTTGCAGTAATAAGTTACGACAGTGTTGCACCCTGTAGTATTTTACGTGGAATTTGTCGTAATGTAATTGGCATCAGTCCAAGGAAAAGATTATTTGGGGATTATAAGGATTATAAGTAATGAGTAAAATTCGTGAAGGTGAGAGGAGAAGCAAGTCGAAGAAAATGAATTTCATGGAAATTTTGCATTTTGAGATAAAATACAGGTCGAGCGATATAATTATGAACTAGTACCATACAAGGTACCATATGACCACAGTAGTATAATATATAACGTATATTAAAAATAAGTAGAATTTTTAGTAAATTTAAGATAATTCTTGATTATGCGGGTAATTAAATAATTACCGAATAACGGGACATTACCTAATTATCAAATAAGTGGATAAAGATTAATAATTTTCACCCCACCCCTCCAAAAAACGTGGCAACAAGCCACTTCTTGAAAATGTGACTATTAGTTATTTATGATTAGTTGGAAAGTAAGGTGTCAATAACAAAGACACATCATTCTCTTATAATAAAAAATACAAAGACTTTTAACTAATGTGGTAAGTACCAAAACTGATCATTCTCATTGTTAATATCTTATGTTTGCACATATATTTCTTTTTTTCTTCTATCTGACTAAGGTCCTTCTGCAAGATTCGATTAAGTTCTTTCTTTCAAAGTAACTTTAACACAAATCTCGTCACCACCATCTTCTGTTGCTAAAATTTAGTGTGCGAGCAACAATAGACTATTAGCAACTGGCCCTTGAATTCCTTACCAACTAAAGCTAACAAAATTTTATGTACTCCTCTGGTTGGAAACAATTTGGCCGCAAGAATTTTGAAAACTCGTAGGAAATTTATAATGCTCTGGTTGAAGTTTAAACGTAAAATTTTGCGGTTCTAGAAGAGTACGGTGCAAACTTTTCCAAGATATCATACGTATTTTTCCCTACTCCAGGTATGTTACGGCTATCCCTTATTTCTTTTTGCATGATCCATACGATATGAACAAAACCTGCAAATACACAAATTCCATAAGTGACTCTACTCATAGAAGTAATAGAAATATCTATGTTATTTAATTTTCATGTGTCATAATATTTTATCATCTGTTCATGGGTCTCAGAAGAATACAAAAGTTGAAAAGATGTAACTTTATGATATTGCTCAAGAGGCAAAATGGTCTTATGACATTTCGAATGATTTTATTGACGTACTTTACATGCATTACGTTCATGTGCATTGACCCATGACCAGATGGTGTTATATACGCGTATATGTGTAAATATATGTATATGGGATACAGGAAAAGGTTATGGCGTTATATACGCACCACCACCTGATCAGCTGGTATAAGATGATGATGTTGCCCAAAGTGGCTGAAATATGTGTGACGACCCGAAGGGTCATCACCGTAGTTCTTCCTTGTTCCGCGCTTTCGAGGCCTTGAAAACCTTGCTTTTAGTTGCCTCGATTGGCGTGCGTAGTTCGGGCGCGTAGCCAGAAAGTTTTTATGTTAGAATATGTGAATTATGTGAAACATTTTATGAATTTTGGTATTAATATACATAATGTTGACTTCGGTCAACATTTTGGGTAAACGGACCCGGACCTGTGATTTGACGGTCCCGGAGGGTCCGTAGGAAAATA